ACTTATTATCTTAACGAGACTCCATGTGTGTTAAAACCTGACTCCAATTAGCTTTTTTTGAGGTCATTAACTTAAGGGTTCACATACTTTTTCCACAAGCACTATGAGGTTTTTTTGGTTGTTCACATGAAAGATCATAAAAATGTTGTTTTATTATTTTAGACACATTTTATTTGTCAATACCTTTGACTTAGATGAAGATCAGATGACATTTTATGACAAATTTATTCAGAAAACTATGAAATTCCAAAAGGTTCACATACTTTTCCTTGCCACTGTATATGTATAAATTTAAGCCTTAAAACCTTTACCAGACAATGAACACTGGGTTGGTTACTCTGAATGGGCTGTTTCAAATCATTACTTGACTTTATTACACTATATTACCCCTGTATTAAGTGTATTATTGATTTAACTAATCTGGTGTGGCACTACCTAGATGACTGAAATGACCATAGACACATCTAGTAGCTGACACATCCAAACTCCTAATTCTTTGTCTTCTTTGTCTAGGAGCCAGAGGGGAGACAACATAACACACCAACAAAGGGACCCTGCTCGAAATGGGGCGATGTGGATTGAGGTGTTCCTTTTCCTTGTGAACTGTCGAAAGAAAGCAACCACGAGGACTAAGGAACAACTAGCAGACGGAGGAGGTGGTAGAGGAGTGGTGGCTTTGGTGTCTGAAGAAAGGTGGTATGGGTGGGGGGGCATTCGGGATGGCAAATGGAAATGAGAGCAGTGAAGGGCCTGCTGGGCCCATGGCAGCAGTGGTGGCTACCACAGGTGGGATGGTAGCAGAGAGTCCTTCCTCAGCTGTCTCTACGTATGTCAAACTGGTGCTGCTGGGGCTGATCATCTGCATCAGCCTTGTGGGCAACTTGGTGGTGTCTCTGCTCGTACTGCGGGACCGGGCCCTGCACAAGGCACCTTACTACTTCCTGCTAGACCTGTGCTTGGCAGACACCATTCGATCCGCCATCTGCTTCCCCTTTGTGCTGGTCTCTATCAAGAATGGCTCGGCCTGGACCTACAGCGTGCTGAGCTGCAAGGTGGTAGCCTTCATGGCAGTGCTCTTCTGTTTCCATGCCGCCTTCATGCTGTTCTGCATCAGTGTAACACGCTACATGGCCATTGCACACCACCGTTTTTACTCAAAGCGCATGACATTCTGGACATGTGTGGCAGTGGTGTGCATGGTTTGGACACTGTCTGTGGCGATGGCTTTCCCACCTGTTTTTGATGTGGGCACCTACAAATTCATTCGTGAGGAGGACCAGTGCATCTTTGAGCACCGCTACTTCAAGGCTAATGATACACTAGGTTTTATGCTAATGCTGGCTGTGCTCATTCTAGCCACACATGTTGTCTACATGAAGTTACTCCTCTTTGAGTACAAGCACCGCAAGATGAAGCCGGTCCAGATGGTGCCAGCCATCAGTCAGAACTGGACCTTCCATGGGCCAGGGGCTACCGGCCAAGCGGCAGCCAATTGGATTGCGGGCTTTGGCAGGGGTCCAATGCCACCCACTCTGCTGGGAATTCGGCAAAACTTGCACAACCAGAACCGGCGCCTGTTGGGAATGGAGGAATTCAAAGCAGAGAAACAGCTTGGCAGGATGTTCTATGTGATCACCCTGCTTTTCCTGGTGCTCTGGTCTCCCTACATAGTGGCTTGCTATTGGAGAGTGTTTGTCAAGGCTTGCACAATACCACACCGGTACCTTTCCACCACTGTGTGGATGAGTTTCGCTCAAGCTGGGGTCAACCCTATTGTCTGTTTTTTCCTTAACAAAGACTTGAAGAAAGGGCTCCTTTCCCACCTACCAGCCTGCTGCAGGACTAAACCTCATCTGCCACGAGAGCCTTATTGTGTCATGTAGGCAGAAATGATGATCTAAAACCAAGGGGCAGCCGAAAGATGTGTTGTTCGAGTGTTTGCCTGAGTTATTGTGGCGTTTGATTAAATGCAAGCTGCTTTTAAGCAGTGGGTATAAACTAGTGAGTGTAATGGTAACATTGGAATGGTAAGCATGCATCCCCATCTACCAACCCTTTTTCATTCAAAACAACAGCATACATGGAGTCAGACCATGACTTTTGATATCAAGAGAAAAATACTTTAATAGCAAAACTTACAAGTATTAATGCAGTCATTGTGGAAGCCACCAACAAATTACAAAAGCTTCTTCGTAAAGCGGCCAATAAGAAAAGTTGTGGATTGGTTTGGCAACAAAAAAATAGAGCAAAATAAGCAACTTTCCTAGTTTAGATCTAAAACTAAAATGCTGGATTTGTTAGTAAACCCAGATAATGTTCTCTGAATGGTGACAATGAGAGAGAGATACAACAACAATTGTACCTTCTTTTTTTTTGCATTTTATTTTTAGTATTTGACTTGATTTGAGTAGTTAAAATATGTAATTCCAGGTGTCAGTGAGCTTATTTATATTTTCTCAACACTCTATCCAAAGACAGTCTTTTTGTTGAGCCATGTAGAGACACATAAAACTTAGGTTCAAATAATTGACCCTAGGTTTTAAGATTCAGTTCTTAGTCCATCCAAATCAGTTCAACATAGTTCTTACTCTGGCCTGAAAATGATTTTGAAATCAAATCAAGTCTTTAGAAAGGAAGCAAAGGAATCAAAGGCAGCCTTAAAGAGTCAGTGAGGGTCAGTGAGATGGTTTAAACTGATCCAATTAATCGCCTTCACTGCATGAGGAAAATAAAACTACTGATACTGATTCTCTGAAGCAAACACATCAGTGACAGGAACACCAAGTGCTGCACACCAGCTTTTATGTCTATGTTGATGAATTTTCTTTTTCTCATCTTTGACAAACTATCCATGTTTCTCTGTTAGTTACTCATTTATGTTAACTAAAACGAACTAAGGTCCTTTCCAGACGACTGCAGTTCTACCACTGATATGTGTGTGCTTTAAATTATGTGCATCACTTGAAGACAAAATAGGTGAGCAGAGGTTTCTCACCAACACCAGCTTGTTCAAGTACCTGATTGAAGTCTGAACACAGTGCCCAACTGCATAAAATGCATGTCTTTAGAAAATTCAGTTTTCCTTACTTTCCATTGCACATTCAAGTGGTGCAAGAACTATAAGTTACAGTCAAAACAGACAGCCTTTTTTGCTTGCTTGTTGTTTCCACTACAAAAAAATGGTATAAATTTTAAAATATTCTATTCCTCCTTTGCTAGGGACCCCCTACAGCTCTTCAAGGGTTAGGGTTTGGTAACCCTAACACCCAGCCCCCAGATTGAAACCACTGATCTAGTGCACTTTATATACCTTATGCCAATTTGACTGTCTAAATGTTTCAAAATTTAAAGTGGATGCCGATAATGTAATACACTTAAAAATCCCCACAGTGGATAAATGTCCAAAGCTGTTTTGTTGTTAAAAATACAACAACACAATGCCCCCAATATCGACCACACACAGCTCCGTCACAGCCGCCAGAAACACTGTGGACCCATGGCTCCTTTCTCCTCTCAGCTATCGTTATGTGCCCAGTCTATTTCAACCAGAACGGAAATTCATTTGTGAATATATAGAAATGCCTGTGTTTCTCCACAACTGAAATAAAATTAATATTTAATAATTAATCCTATTTGTTACCAGGGGAGTTTCCAGGCAAAAGTGGGGTTTACTCAAAAATTTAGTTGTTTCAAATGCTGGTGTAAAGGGGCCTTTAGTCGAGCACCTATCACTGACGGTGCAAACAGATAATTAATTCCTGTCTGACCCAATTGACTGATCCTAATTGATTTACTCACTACAGAGTAACTATGAAGTGTTCAATATTTCTGACTGAGTGACACAGTCTGGGTGATTTCTTACAGGTCAGCAGGAATCAAATGTTGATTGTAATCTCAGCTGTCACTATTATCATAATTATTATTAAAACTGTTTACAATTATTACATTATAATTATTATAACAGACAGGAAAAATTCTCTCCAGATACTCTTCTTGGCATGCTTTCATTTTGTTTGTCAATGAAAAGAAAACAACTTCCATCTGTACCCATGTGGGTACAACAGAAAACACAATAAGGAATATGCCTACAGACAAAACCTTATTTGTTTAGTATTTATGGCATACCATAAATTCAATCTGTAAAACATTTTAACTGAAGAGAAATTATTTTCTAGGTGCATTATGTAACTGGGCACTGAGGTCTCAATCATTTGTTGACAGGGTGTTTCTTTAAAAAAGCAGTCAACATCAAATAAAATGTGACAAAATACAACCAAAGTTACTAAATCAAAATGTTGACTTTTAAGACCAGATACAAGTCTTCTTTTTTTAAAACAAAATGATGAGATTCTAAGTCTAAATAGACTTTTGGAATAGATATCCAAATTATTATTTTTAATGTCAAACTTATTAAAGGTCCATTGTGTAGGATTTAGTGGCACCCTCCCTTTTCAAGCGCAAAGGAGAAACTACAGTGGCCGCGAAATGCGTAAAAAGACTAACACATATCAAGAGCCAGTGTTTGTTTGTCCGTTATGGGCTACTGTAGAAACATGTCGGTTCAACATGGTGGACTCACTGTTTACAAATGGCTCACTCTAAGGTAACGAAAAGACAACGATTGTTGTCTCCTAAATGTAACACAATGGACATTTTAAAGCTGCAGTAGGTAACTTTTATAAAAATAAAATATAAATTTGTTTTTATTCAGATCTGGTAGATTCTTGCAAATTCCATTACGAGCACTAGGCGGAGCCAGGGGAACCTGATTTTTTTCACAGATTATCTGTTTTATATACTACCGTCAGGTTAAAGTGAAAGTTTCAGCAAATATGAGATTTTATGTCAAAATATTTTTTTTTTATGTCAAACTTAAAAACAAAGAGCTAAATTATGTTTGATTACTCATGAGAATTATGAGGACACAAAGTCACTACAGCTGCATTTTACAGCAGCAATCATTCTGTTCTGCGTCTTGATGGTTGCGAAACAAACCTGTCACAAAATGGAGCCTATATGGCTGGCATGAAAATGAAAAGATTTTTTAACCCAGCATGTAAAATTCCAAGATAAATCAAGTGTCAATATCAACTTGATATTATGTGATCATACAGGAGGAGAAATTAAATTGACATAAATCATCATCATTACTTCACACAGAGTACTAAAGGTATGGGGACGCAGTAGAAGGCATATCTATTGCTTTACATTTGCACAAATCTAAATAAATCGATTAACTGTGCTTCTCTGTTGTTTTTCTCCAAAAAAGAACTGTAACCTGAAGTGGAGTTTATGTGGAAGTAAAGAACAGGGCACAGAGATTGTAATTTGTCATTGAATGTCAGAAAACGAGATACAGTCCTTAAGATTGAGGGTAAATAGTGTGTTTGGGGGTTTGAGGTGCCCCTTTTGTCTCTGCCATGGCGTACCTTGAAACACCCAACAACAGCATGCCACAGAGAATTGCTAATCTTGTTTTTATTTTCAGAATTATGGCCTTACTCCATAGAAACCAATGCAACAAAGAGTAGACAAATGTGTCTCTTCTGTATGCGCTTATTCAAAAGGAAGAAACAGCATTGTGTATACTAGAGACATTTTCAAGACTGTTGCTCTTCCCATCAAAACCTGGAGGAACTGTGGTCATGGACAAAGGAGAACATTCAAAGTCGTTGAGACTTTTCTGTTGCAGACTGATGACCTTAGCGAACCCTGCTCTGGATTTTTTGGGATTGTTTTTCTCAGTTGTTTTTCTCTTGGATGTCAACCTGAGGACTGAAGGAAAAACCATTGGTCTTTCCATTTTCATTTCTGGGACAAAGCCAGAGGAAACTGTGGATTCACACAGTGTTGATGCTGGAGAGGCCTGACAGTGCTTTTTTAGTTGCCTCAGGCAGATTATCTTTTGTAAATTTACTGTGACCTCTGTACTTAGTGTGTATTATACTGACAGCAAACCAACTTTGAAATGCAATGGAAGAGTTACTGATCATTGTATTTTTACTGTGTGTGTGTGTGTATGTGTGAGTGTGTTTCTATTGGCAGGTATGATTGTGTGTATGTGCTAGATGATGGTTACATGGATGACACAGGAAAGTGAGAGGGAAAATACTGACCAGATACTAGGGCTGCACCTAACGATAATTTTTCTTGATTAATCAATTAGTTGTTTGGTCCAAAATGTTGTTTAGTGTTTCCCAAAGCCCAAGGTTACATCCTCAAATGTGTTGTTTTGTCCACAACCCACAGAGATGACTAAAGGAAAGCAGAAATTATCCACATGGTGGAAGCTGAAATCTGAGAATTTTGACATTTTTTCTTGGTGGTCAACTAATCGATTAATCAACTTGTTGCAGCTCTACCAGATACATATTGCATTTAGAAGATATCATTCCTGCAAATGCTTCCTCACTATTTCTCACGTTGACCATTTTTCCTGACACACAGATCTGAATGTGTTTTAAAACCAAGATGTTTACTCAAAGTCCCTTTTGTAAAACATGTATTAGGTTATTATTAATTGGACTGATTTTTTTGTACATATTTAGGCATAATGATGGTAAATAAAAAAGCTTGATATAAAGCATCTGGACAGGCCAAATGTGCCTACGGACACTGGTCTCTCTGAATGTTTTATTGAAGAATTCACACATAAATAATGAAGTAAGAATTGTAGATACAGAAGATTTCACTTTGACATCTAAACAGCTCTCAAATTGTCCTTGTTGTTAAAGGATAACCCCAAATTATTCATCTTGGGTCTTATCCATCATTGCTGTCAGTTACAGAGCTGATATGTGAGCTCATAGTCTGATGGGTTGAACATGAGCAGTCAGACGATCAGACAGACCAAGAGGCCTTGCCTTTTGTTTCGTAGATTGGCTCCGTAACGGAGTGTGAAGCTTCTGTTGCAATCATCAACAGAATCACAGGCTAGCTAAACTACAAACCAAATAAAGCATTCAGACAAGCAACAGACACCTAAACAATCCACCTGATGCTGCATCACAAAGTAGCCGAAGCTCTTTTTCATTGCTGGTTTTATTGTGATAGAATAAATGACCAACATAGCATGGAGCTCCCTAAAGATGGTATTTTCTTGTCTTGTTCTCAAGATTAAAAATATATATATCATCTATGTAAGCTAGGTCCCTCCATTTGCTATCAGCCAACAATGTAAACTTGCTTTTCTACAGAAATTGAATCAAATAATTCCATTCAAATCATAAATAGAACTGGGTAGTCCTTACACATTACATCCAGTTTTGCTGTCATAAATGCTGGTGTGACTGGGCCCAGCAGTAAATGACCCAGATACCAATTTGACAAGTTAATGTCCAAATCATTCTTTGGTTGTTCTGCTGTGTTACTGTTGCCTAGTGAACATGCACATTAACACAAATCACAATAACAAGGTATCACTGTGGGTAGATACAGTATATCTTTGGGAGAAACTCAAAATATTGCTATGTTTCTAGAGGTGGCACACCTATGAATTCTACAGAAACAGTTTAATTAAGTAGAACAGTAAATGTCGAAGGTTAAAAGAAAAGTCCCATCTTAGTGCACCCTGAAGTCAAAAACACTGAATATCACAGAGGCAAGTCAGAGGCTGCGGTTTCACTTTGTTCTGTATTATTTTAAAAAATGTTGTAGAGCTATTACGCATGTCTCTGGCAATTTATGATTTTTGTTGTTGGTTTTGTAATAAAAATAAATTTCATTTGAAATTATCAGAACATTATTATGATTACCTGTGGCATTGTCTCCCCAGAGTTCCTGGGCATGATGGTGTACCAAATTATTCAGTTATATTTTGCGTACTATGCACACACAACATGTAGAATAATATGCATTTACAACCCGATCTTACTTCCAAGTCGTCAAATACTGCCGCTTGGTCAGGGGCCCTCTGTAGGTATCCCTCTAGTGTCATTTCAGGGTTCCCACTCTTTTTAAGAAATCAAATTCAATTAAATTTCAATTTAATGTTGAATGTGTGTTGTGTGTGTGTGTTGTGGTAGACAAAGCAACAATAGCAAGGACTAAAATTATGATGATGACAACGACGACAATAGCCACAACAATGAGGAATGAATAATAATAGTAATAATTAAAGCTGCAAGCAGCATTGGACAGGACCTCACACACACATGGCGGGACTTTTATCAAACAC